CGCCGTCCAACAATTCTCATCATTCATTAATGGCCTTCTCACAAACTCTTCGCTAGCACGACGACTACTTCGTCGTATCTCAACGGTGCTTTGCAAGGAGTGATCTCTACTCTTCACGAGAAAGACACTAAGCTCTATCAACAGGTTGGTGTTCGACGGTGTTGGATCGTTCAGAGTGTCGATGAAGTGGCGATTGACCTGAAAAATAATGCATCGTCTCTTCGTGGCCTCTCTCCTCGCACTGTTGATTTCACCACAATGTACACCAACCTTCCTCATGATCGCATTCTGAATAATGTGACAAAAGTTGTTGATGAAGCTTATGCTTATGCCCTTCGGCATGCTCGCACGCATTTACGCTGCGTTGCCCTCAACATGGTTATTCGAGGACCTCATTGTGGCCAATGGACGACTGATTCAGACTCGGATACCCTTTCCGTTTCTCAGATTCTCCAACATCTTCGCTTTGTTGTACAAAATATTTTTTTGTACACTAGATATGACACGCTTTGAAAACAAATTATCGGTATTCCAATGGGAATGAATGCTGACCCAGAAATTTATAATCTGACGATGTATTGGGATGATGCACGCTTTGTTGATGACATTTGTCAACATGATCTTGAAGCTGCCCAACAATATGCCTTCACCTATCGCCTCATTGATGGTGTTCTTTCATGGTGACAAGTACCTCCTCCACTAGAGCACTATGGGCTTGAGTGGAAGGAGACTACAACTACAGATGGCTCGTGTACCTTTTTAGGTATGCATCTACGGAGACTACGAGTCCGTACCGATGGCTCGCTTCGCATGAGAGTCTTTGATAAAGTGATTGCTTGGGACTTCCCTGACAATCGTTATCCAAGTGCAACCTCCAACATCCCTTCCAGTCAACTGGCTGGTATGTTCACCGGGCAATTAACCAGATTTGAACAAATTTGTAACACTTGGCAGGACTTTAGAATTGCGACAATAACTCTTACTCGTCGCATGCTTCCGCGTGGACATTCCCCACTAACCTTTGCTAAGGGGTGGACATGCTACATGCGCTCCCGTCAACATCGCTATCCTCAGATGTAAAGCGCCTCTCTCGGTGGTTCGACGCATGCTGCGATGGTCCTTGTATCATCCAATTTTTCCTTTGCCCCCACGCCACTCTCGTCCTGCCCCTACTTGCTCATCTGCTGCTACCACAGTTTCCACTACTGCAGTCTCGATTCCTGCAGTTTCCACTGCTGCAGTGTCCACTGTTGTGGTTTCCACTGTTGCAGTTTCCGTTGCTGCAGTTTCTACAGTTGCAGTGTGCACTACTGCGGTTTCCACTGCTGCAATATTCATTGCTTCAGTTTCCACAGTTGCAATTTCCGCTCCTCTAGTTTCTACTGTTGAGGTTTCCACTACTGCAGTTTTCAGTGCAACAGTTTTCTTAACTCTAATTCCCCCTAGTGTAGTTTTTATTTCTACAACTTCCTCTCCTGCATCTCCAGTACAAAGAACATTACGGTCTCTCCGACACTTACGTCCATTATTTCAAAATCTTTCCCAATCCACACCCCTCTCATCTCTTTCTGTGCTTAGTCACAGACGGCTGCGTTCCTCCTCACCAACCCATCTCCTCCACGGTCTCGCTTGCGAACAGACTCTTCAGCTTCTATTGTTCCCATTGTTTCACCTTCGTTACCAGGGATCAGTTCATCTTTTGTTTGCAACACCATTACTCCTCATGTTGTGTATCGTCAACGACATCCACAACATTGTCACTTGTCCGGGGATCAGCAACTTGTTTATTTGTTTGCCCCAATTCTCTTTGTGCCTCCCTATGAAACACCCGCGGACGCGTCCGCGGGGTCGAGCTCGGATGGTGGCCGTATATACGGCCGCATCCGCGACCGACCTCGTTCGCGCCGCGAAGGCGAATTTACCATATTTTTCCTTGAATTAAATAATGGGTAAAAGAATATAATTCCTACAACCCCATTTTTTTTTTTTGGGAAACAAACAAGTTTTAGAATTATAAAAAATAAAAAACAGAAAAGGTGGAGAAGAGAAATTCAAAACAAAAATTAAAAAAAAGTTTTTTTTGTGGGGGGGGATTTTTGGTTGGTAGTTCTTTGTATTCTTGTTTTTTACGTTTTTTTTTTTTT